ATGCCCATCAGGGCTCCTGATTCTCTCCCACTTGCAGGTAGTTCTGTAAAAGAAGAAAAAAAGCAAACTCTTCTGCAAACTCTAATTGGCAAACAGCACTCCCAGCAATAGTAGCTATAGTTCATTCACCAAGATTAATCAATATTTTACTTTTCTGACTCCCACTATTAAGAAGCCCCCGTCCCTCCAGCGTAGGGGAAAACAGAAAAATTATGTGGAACGAAGTAATTCAAGATCATTTCAAGGTTGTGTCCTTACCACCACAACATATTGTCTCATTTTCTAAAAGTGTTGAAATAAACTCAGAGAACGCTCTTCCAAGCATTGAGACTGAATATATCACACAAGGACAGATCACATCTCTGTCTAAACATTTGCAGCTGGGTATGAACTCAAACTGGCAAAGCAGAGGAGTAATAACTGTAGTTGTATGAATTATTCTATCAACTTTATCAGTCCACTGGTATAGCATATTGTTTTTCAACCACACTGGCTGGGGGAATTCTGGAAGTTGACAGTCACAGAATCTCAAAGTTGCCAAGACAAAGCTGAAAAACACTGTTATAGGATTTAGGCGTTGAAGTCATTCTGATTATTAGTAGAGCAGGGAACAATATAAATGAAAAGAGAAGATTTTGCCAAAAGGTGAATAATATAACAGCAAGGCCAATGGAAAATAAAATTAACTCCTCTTTTTTCTTATTAAAAATAAACACATAAAAAACAAATTAAAGGGGACAGATTGAAGAAGTTATTAATGCCAAAGTTAAATTCTCATCTATAAATAGGGGTGATTATATAATGAATAAGCCTGATCTAGTGACAGTAACCCAATCATCTCTGGACTAGAGTGACACATCTGTCCATTCCTGGCATGTAATATACAATGGGAGACTGATAGATGCAGCTGTTTCTTACTCCTTTTAAATGGGTGACCATTTAAGTACTAAGCAATTGCAATCAAACATTTCCTATATTTTTTTTATTGCTTGTCAGCTGGAAAACGTTCTGGTTGTTTGATAAGTTATATATATATATGTATGTATGTATGTATGTATGTATGTATGTATATATATGTTACTTATATGTTACACACACGTGTGTGTGTGTGTGTGTGTGTGTGTGTGTGTGTGTGTGTG